CCAATAATATATTTGAAATGTCCCTGGTTCACGAAATAGCTACATTTATATAAAAATATTATACATCACATATTTTAAAAAACCAGTTCGTATATGAAAAAAAAGCCGTACAGTTGCATCAGAGCTAGAAGTAGCAGCATTTGTATTCGGCTCAACATATCCTTCGGGCGCATCAAATTCCACGTTCATGTCACATTCGATGATCGATACCGCACTGCCCGGTTTAACTTCCATCACCAGGAATTCCAACAGTTGATCATTATACTATAATAAGTATCACATTTATCCAAAAAACTGGTTGTAAAAACTTGCTCAACATGATAATAATGGCAACAATAACGGTGATAATAATGATAATAATAAACAATAACAATAATAATAGCAATAGCAATAATAATAATAGCAATAATAATAATAATGGTAACAACAACAATAATGGTAACAACAACAATAACAACAACAACAACAACAACAATGATAGTAATAATAATAATGATAACAATGATGGCAATAATGATAATAATGATAATAATGACAAAAACATGCCACGATCATTCAAAAAATCGTTATAAAAATCCGTTGTTACTCGGATACATTCAATCGCTGGATGCAGCTGAGGGACTTTTTTTCCGGTTCTGAGTTACATGTCCGTATTTAGTACCATAACCTGACAAATGCACGTGTGTCACCTCATCCAAGACCGCGTAAGTATTCTTTTTTTTGCGCTCTACAACACAAAGAAGATCTAAACTGTGGCACTGCTCTGATCGATGCTGCTGGTGAATGATGAGTTAGTAATCTTGGATTCATTGGGATCTTTGTACCCTTTAATTTCCCTTTAAAATTAAACCAGGAAGTGAAAGGGTAAGAGGGAGAGAGGCGATATTAAATTATTAAAATTAATTAAAATTAATTATTAAGGTTACTTAGATTAAAGGTTAAGTAAAAATTAAGGTAAAAGATTAATTAAGATATTAAGACTGAGATATTAAAATTAAACAAGAGAGTTCTTTTGAAAAAACGGTCATAAAAACACAAAAAAACAAAAAATTTTCTCGGAAAAATTTTAAAAAAACTGTCAAGAATGTATTAATAAAATATCTTACTTCAACAGCAATAATGTCGCCTTTTGTAAGGCAAGCAAATTTACGCAACTCAACTTCCAGAACAGCTCTTGGATTCGATATTGCCAGAAAATCGGTGGACTGTGGTTTCAGTTTTGTGTATGTAGCTTTTGGAAGTGATGCATATGTTATACGAACACATTCACCTTCGTTGAGGTGCAGCTGGCGCATCATCTGCAATAAGATCTTATTTATTAAGGATTAATATATTATATAATAGAGCCAGCACTAGGGCAGCCGGTGGGATCACGCATTTTGTGCAATTCTGTCCACCGAACGATTGCCTACTAATGATTTTCACTGCTCTGAATTTGAGAGGTTGCGCGTGAGCAAGGGGCAGTCCCCCAAAACTTCAGGTTCCTAGATTTCGCCGCTCCCGCGATAATAATTTACCAAAAGTTTCACGAGGCCGTATATGTTAACCGTGGGTGTGGGAAGGCTGAATTTAAATTTTCTGAATCGCACTTGGCCAGGAGACAACCCATAAAATTTCAGCTTTCTAGCTTCCGTGATTCCCAAGACAATAATTTCCCCTGCCAGAACTTTTACAGTGCCGTGCGTGTTACCTGCGGGTACAGGAAGGCTGAACTTAAATTTGTGGGACCTGCCGTGGATGGGGAACATTTCCTAAAATTTTCAGCTTCCTAGCTTTTGTGGTTCCCGAGTTGAAAATTGCGGATAAGTTGTCGCAGACTCACACACACACACACACACAAACACACACAGACAACCCCTGGAAATATGCGTTTTCTACTTCTGTTTCACAGCACAAAACGCATAAAAAGGCACGGTACATAACTAATTTTTCAAAGACCTCTCGTCCAATCACAACGCAGAAATCACATTTTCCGATCAGTTCATGAAAATTAGAATTTTTGAAAGTTTGCTGCAAGTTTCCGTACGGCACCAGCCCCTTTCGAAAAACAAAACGTTAGAGGGACTTTTTATCGATGGTAAAATACCCTCAAAAACTTATTTTCGTGAAAAAAAACCAACTTGCTCATTACAAAAAGCCCTATCAGGCGCTACAGAAATGTCGCTTTCCATCAGTGCGAAGAGACTAGGCTACAGTTCACGGAAAAGAAAAAAAGCAAGAGGATGAAGAACGCGTATTTGCTTCAGCTCAACAGAGAAATGATAAGTAACTCGGCCATTCAAAAGCCGAATCAGAAGTGGACGGTCTAAGTGGGGCAGCCGAAGTCGGTTTAACTGATAAAAAATTTTTTTTGCGGCCACTGGCAAGCCGAGCCGTAATTTCTGAAGTAACGGGCAGTTGGAACCGTGGAAAATACGAAACGGTTAAAATCCTTTAAATTTTAGTGTGAGTGGAATTAGTAAATGGATTATGGTGGGAAAAATACTCGAGAATCAATCTGTTGAACCCGTACAAAGCTTTACCCGCCGGATTTTACTTCCTCGCATGGTCGCAATGATATTTTGCTTACCGCTCATCTGACGGGCAGTGTGACTGTTCATACCGTCACGAAGAGATGCGCCAAACATCCTTTGCTCTAACGCTTGGAATAATAATACATGATATTTCAACATAAAAAATATACAACATAAAAAAATAATACAACATAAAAAACAGCACAAGGGTATCGCTGCCTGTGTATCAATACATGCCACTTAATGGATCGAAACATTCCTGTTCAAATTTTCCCTTAATTTTTCTACTTTATCTTTAAATTACCGGCTTTCCCATTCACTTATTCCTGAGCTGTACGTGAGAACGACACATGCTTAGGGGCTAAATTTGATAAATTTAAGTCGTATATGGGCTGAGAACATTCGCTGAAAATTTCAGTCTCTCAACTTTGTCAGTTCCCGAGTTAGTCGGGACTGTACGCGGGCACCACGCACACCTGGAGGCTGAATTTGAAATCTCTGAGTTATGTGTGGACGGGGAACATAACCTCCTAACAACCACAAATAACGACTCGTTAAGCAGAAAAGAATAGAATCAGTTCAGCTAATCATATCGCTATTAGGATACTACCCCTAGTATTACTAGTAACCGTTTTTCCGAACCAGACACATCACTAGGGGAGAACCACGCATACCTGGGGGCTGAATTTGAAGTATCCCTGCTTTACGTGGATGGGGATATGGTCAGTGCGGTGAGATTGTTGGGTGTTCTAAAAAACCGAGGAGTCTCAGCGTGGTCACTTTGCTTAGTAGACCAACAGGATTGTACGCAGGCCATGTGTAAGGTGTTATTTTATAGTGCAAATTGCCTTTATCGATTTCATCGAGATATAGCTATTATTCAACAATGCCATTTTTTTTTCCGCATTCCGGATCTGATTCTGATTTCCTGGTCAAACGATCTAGCAATTCAGTGAAGAAGACGAACCCAGGATGGAAGATAGGCTCGACCTTCTTCGGCCAAAAATTCCAGCACACCACAATGCGTCGCGAGTTCCGGATCACTCAGGCTGGACACTCTAAACATCATCGGATATTCGATATTTAGCCGAACCAACAAATCCAGCGCCGATGGTGGTAACAGAATCTGAAACTTATGCGGTAAAATACTCCTGGAAACAGCAAAATCGGCGAAGAGTCGG